CCCCCCCCAATGTCTACCTCACAGAATGTCAGAACACTGGTCAGTTACTTAGCTGTTTCCCTGGTATTTATATAGACTGGGCTTTCCAGAAGACAGACTGAGATTGAGATTAGGAAGCAGATGTTTATTTGAGAGAGCTCTTGAAATCAACTCCTTTTAAAGAAAAAGGAAGGGAATAGAACAGGCTGAAGGGAGACACTCCAAAGCACTCTCAGAAGAGATCCTGTGACCATATGGGAAGCCCAAGGGTATGGACTTTGGATGAGAGAATCTGGCCATCCATTCGTCATGGGCAAGTCATTTGATGCAGGCTGTCCTGAGAGGGGTGTGGTCTTGGGTGAAGCAATTCCTTTCCATTGAAGTAACCCTGGAAGTCAGAGATGGATGACATCTGCCTGCACCTAAAATGGTTTATTTCTGAATGGCCTAACACAGACTCCATTAAAGTGCCATCATTTATGTGGTCCTTTTCTTGTTTGTTGTCGTTTTTTCAAATGATACTTCCCTTTCTGCAGTGTAGATACATATTCTGACATCTCTGATTTCAAAACTGTTTGATGTATCTAAGTATGTAATTTGTGTCAAATTTCCTCAGAGATTTTATAAGAAACTCTCAGTGTTTTTTTACTGAGAAATAACCCAATCACGAAGAATCAAAAGACAGAAGATATTGCTCATGTTAAGTAAAAAATTCGAACGTCCCAATCATTTGGCATATGATAAAAATTTTAAAGTATCATGAGGTTGAATGGCAAAGTTTAAGAAAGAAGAGTGATCTAATTTGAATGCTTCAAGCTGAGGTTTTTTTGACATGAGTTTAGTTTGGCGATATCACACCTTTATTGAAACACGTTGCTTGTGATATTTCTTGATGCTTTTAAGACTTCACACTGTTAATTGCTCATGCAAGGATCAATTATTTTGTTGAATTCTTTTAGCATTTTTTTTCTTAAAATGAGATTTTTGAATGTGATAATGCCATCAAAGAATTGTCATGTATCACAAATGCAGTTCCCTCATGAGGCTAAATGTGAAGATTTAGGGGTTCGCCTGCAATGAATTGCTAATTTCCATTAACATTTTTATTTGGAAAAAATTAAAATGCTGTAATTGGCATTAGTATATAATACAGTTTCAATTAAAATTAAAACATAAATTTTTCATTTTCTCTTCTGAAATAACATACATATAAGATTTCTTTTCAAAATTGATTATTAGATCAGCACTCAGTGTCTGATGCTTAGTGCTGTCATCTAGATTGATAGATGCACAGCTTAGAATTAAGAAAAAGAATTTTCCATTGAAAACCTTCAAGATTGAGGTCAAGTTGAGTTTAAAAGGAAGTCATAAGTGTTCAGGATTCATTTTGAACCTCCATTATTAGCTTTCATGCAGAAATATCTGTCCTCAGTGACACTGGGCTATTTCAGAACTCCACAGTCATAAGATCACTTAGAGAAATGCCTATTACCCTCCTAGTTTAAGTGGCAGACATTTTTCATTGATCACAGGCCCTGAAGGAGCCCTTGCTCCCTTGACATTTTAGAGACTTCCCTCCTGACAGAGCATCTTCTTGGGGTCTATAATCATCCACTTTCTGGTCTTTCCTGGTTCTCTTGTCCCAGTATAACTCTATAATAGTTTCATTTCTGTTGCTATGATAAAATACCATGATCAAGGCAACTTATAGAAGAGTTTATTTTGGCTTAAAATTCAAGAGGGATAAGTCCATCATAGTAGGGAGGCATGTCAGCAGGTAGCCATAACAGCAGCATCCAAAAGCTGAGTGCTCATATCCTCACGGTAAACATGAAGCAGAGGAGTGAAACTGGAAGTGGGACCAGGCTATGAACTCTCAAAGCCCACCCCCAGTGACATACTTCCTCCAGCAAGGCCATACCTCTTAAAACTCTTCAAACAGAGCAATTAGGGCCAAGTGTTCAAATACATGAGCCTGTGGGGGACATTTCTCATTTAAACCACCACATTCCACACCCTGGCTCCCATAAGCCCATGGCCATATCATAATGCAAAATGCATTTAGTTAACAGTCTCAACACTGTTCAAAAATCCAATGTCCAAAGTCTTCTGAGAATCAAGGCAATCTTTTAAATTGCAACCCCTTATAAAATCAAAAGGCTAAATTACATACTTCCCACATGCAATCACACAGTGTTTAAATTTCCATTCCAAAAAGGAGGAAGGCGGGTGGCATAGTGAGGAAATACTGGACCAAAACAAGACTAAAAACCAGCAGGGCAAACACTAAGTCCTATTACTCCAAGTCCCATATCTGGGCTTTTAGTTACAAGGGGCTCAGATGGCTCAGTCTCTCCAGTTTTGCTGCCTTCAGTGTACATCTTTCTCTTAGGCTCTTTCAGTGTGCCCTGTAGTCCCTCTCACTGGCAGCAGACTTGTGGCTCTGGCATCTCCAACATCTTGAGTTCTCCACTGTAACCCAGGTTTCACATTCATATCTTCACACAATAACATCTCTGGGCCTCTTGGCCTATTCGGGCCTTCTTCACACAGGAACTTTCCTACAGTACATGGCGTGGCCTCAACAGCTCTACAGATCCATGAAGCAGTGATGCACCCATAAGCCTTGCATCTTTCATGCCTCTAAAGCCCAAAACACATGAATGACACTATCACATTCAGCTGCCAGCTTGGGGGGGGGGCGACCTTGGCTTGGACCTTGGCTCCCTTCATCCACATTAGCAGCAGCTTTTGTATGTTGAAGCAATTGCTTCCTAGGAGCAGGAAGCCCCTTGGACTTTCATTTACAGTTTGGGGCTTAGTTCGATGGAGTTTTTCCATGAAGGAATTCTTTCCATTGCTCCAGTGCCAAGTAGGAAGTCTCTCCTTGCTGAAGCTAATCTCTTTGTCCTTAACAGCCTCTCCTCCAG